CTGCCGTAACCAGTGATCCTAGGTTTCCAGACCCGTTTTGAAGGGCGCATCGCATACGTTAAAAGGGCAATGACGTTGCTTGGGAGCAATGACATTATTTTTGACGTCGTGATCGTCAAAAGAGCAATGGCTAGCTTACCGGCCTGCACTTACACATTTTTATCCCGCCAACAACCGATACGAATTTTCTGGTTAGCTGCTTAGGACAAATCATAATGGAATCCCGATCCCCTAAGGCTCTTTGCTTGCTTCAGAGTATTTGACAAAAGGATCTGTGTTAAATCACGTTTTCAGAAACTAGATGGGCATCGGTACACTATTATAATGCAGTGGCCATGATATTAAAAAGAGTTTCCCCACAACAGAGATCCTTGATAAGGCTTGCATTTTACAAAATGACTCAGACTTCGGGGAAAAGCTACCCGGTCTCAGGCCTCTCAGCAAACTGCGAGAACGTTACAATCGAGCTGTTGTCAGGAGACGAGGTGGTCAAGTGACTGTCGCGTTGTGACATCACTTGGAACGTTGAAGCTTGTCGGCAAAATGGCTTGTTTCGCTGAAATAACTCCACTGTCGTGTAAGGACTAGGGTCTTTGCAACAAGATTGCCATTATGAAAGACGTGGGTCCCAAGATGTCCATCGCCGCAAGTCAGTAGTGAAGTTTCAATTAAAAACAGGCTCGGTAGTTGAGATAATGTGTGTTTCAGAAGCCACCATATCTTTGCAAGAAAACTACGCTGTAAAACAAAAGCCCATCGTTATGATCGGCGCTGCAGGCCAAGCCGGTCTCAACGCAGCCTGGCCAGAGACCGTCCAGTTTCAGCGACCTGGCACGGCCAGACAAGCCACGTTTGTAATCGACAGTCACTGGTCGCAACGCGTTTAAGTTTCTGGTAACAGCAACCATAACTTTTTTTATTAAAGAACAACACTGCCTCCGCGGGGCAGTGCAGTAATATCCTCGATGCCTTTAAACGTAATGTATATTCGTTGGTGTATTTGCTGCCGTGTTGAAATACCGACACTACTTCATCTGCCCATTCGGTGAACATGGGGAATGCAAAATTTTAAGTCACAACAAGCCACAAAGGCAGGACGGAAACAAATTGAGCGTTTTCATATACCAGCCATATTTGTTTACGTTTCTTAGGACTGAAGTCAATTCCGGCAAGGTACAGACGTGAAACCAACTTCAAAGTGTTTACAAACGTGCCGTGCGCAAATCATGAAGGGATCTCAATGCTGCCCGGTCTATAGGCGTTTTAAACGTTGGCCGGCAAGCAGTCAGTGTCGCCTTTGCCGTAGCCGTCGGAAATTGAACCATGCAAACCGCATAGTCACATAACTCAGTTCATCGCGACCAATGTGCATCTGAACCACTGACCATTTTGCCATGTGTATCTGTGTGACTCCACTGTGTCAATGTGTATGTGTATCCATGTGTATCTGTGTGACTCCACTGACCAATGTGTATCTGTGTGACTCCACACCCGTCAAATGGTGACAACAAAAGGTGCTCCAGAAAGCCCTCGACAGTTCAGAGTGCGCGTCAGCTGAACCCGCCGCAGGCGTTCGGCTGCCCGGCCCATCGTCCACGGTGATGCGCTCCATCTTAAGGTTGAGGGTGGTCTTGGCCTTTGGGAGGCTCGTCGGCTTATGGGGGTGGTTCTTGAGGTTAACCCCAGCATGGAGTTCAGTGGCGACAGGTCGGGCGAGCGAAAGGCCACGTCAAAGCAGTCTTAAGCCGGGGTGCATTTTAGCGAAATTATTTTGAATTATTTCAGTGAAGCCCGTGCCTTGTGCAGTGTCATTTTATCCCGCTGGAGCCACTCCTCGTACCCATCGATCCTGCAAAGTCGCCCATGGCCGAGCAGAAAGTTATCAGAGCGGTGGCGGTGAAGCACTGTGAGATGGTGTTGACAAGATACCCGGTCTTTTCCTCAAAGAGACATCTTCTTTTTAGTTATAACTTAACGAATTTGGGATCACTGACGTCTGCCATTGTTTTTGTCACGTTATGCCACTGAATGCTTATTCGAATGCAGGCGCAGTCTGGATTGTGCGAGAAATACACTTGCCACTGCTGATTAAAACGTGAGTTAACTTTAATCTGGACTACCTTGTATATTTCACACAGGCACAATCTGTTAAGTTCACCCTTCTGTGATATTTTGTGAACCTGATGCATGGTTAAACAAAAGGCTTCCGGCACGATTGGGAGACCTCACTCAGTGCTTCAAGAATCCGTTCCCACAGGAAGGAAGTCCTTAGCACGTCTACATTCGCACGAATGGGGATCAGAATACATATACACTGCTCTTCCCACCTGATGTAAAAGGACTGCTTTCTCAGCAGGCATGGTGCATACGGAATTGTAATGCAGCATTATTGGGGCAGTCATTAGTTTTCTAAAGTTTTCTCCGAACTTTTTGATTGGATGCATTTCTGGGACGAGCACCCACGCCAAGCGGTGCTCTTTCGGTGAGCCCTGACCCAATCGTAAAATTCCGGGTCAGTGGCAGAACTTCACGGCGAAAGGTTAACGTGCCGCAATGCTCAGCACGGTCTGTCCTGCCCTCTGACACTGCGTGACCCTTAGCGCGGCCACTGCCACCAGCCGCAGGCTATCCCAGCCGGACACCAGCAGCCAAGTCAAAGGCGACTCGAACCCACCCCGCCAGTGCCGGAAGGCAGGCGCTCTAACCAGCTGGATTATCGGGACGGATTAAACGCATTGCGGACGGGACGATTAAAAAAAGAACAGCTTGGCGGTGTATCTTCCACCCGGCTGTACCACAAAAAGCGTGTCGACAAATGGCATCAACACAAGTTATTCGGTGTGTTCCAATGTGAAAGGAGTCTTGCAGTGGTGTTGGACTTTGTCAAGAAATCTGGCCATGAGCACAGCTTCAAAACGTCGGTTTTTCTCAATATAACCGATGAGTTTTGATATCGTCGAACCGCAATCTCCTGACCTTGTGAATGACGACTATTTTCAGCACGTGAATTCCCAACTCAATACTCCGAAACACCGACATTCAACGCTTTTTTGGTATATCGACTTGCGATACGTGTCAAAGCGTTTGGTCACGCCTCTTTTTAAGACGACCACTGACGACACATTCAGTCATCAGTCTTTGGTTACTCTGTCCTTCCAGTTATCGACATGCTCTTCAGGGATAGCACGCAACATTCTTCAACTAACGCACTTTTTGCAAGCCTGCATCATTGCCCTCGAATTGGAGTGCACCTAAGAATTCCATGAGACGATTCAGCATCTACCACATGTCTTGCACACACTCTGGGCACTTTACATATCTGTCGTGCAACGGATTTGGTGTGTTTTCAGTTCGCGTAACCATTTCAAAACAGTCACCGTACACTGCGCTACGGAATTCTTTGGCGCACTTGCGTTGAATCATTGTCTCACGTTGGCCATTGTTTTTGCGGTAAATTCAAAGAGGAGTAAAACACATGGCGTATAAACGTTTCTCAGGATTTTAAAACCTTTTTTCAGTGTGCGCCTTTTTAGAATATCCGTCGTCACTGCACATGCATGGCCCCTGCCTGCATGAAAATGTGTCCTCTTTGGCATCAACCGTCTGGGGAGAGCTTCCTCCACCGTACACTATCGTGGCATCTGTCGGCGGGCGAGCTGGGGTGCCTTGGAAACATCTGGCAAAAAGCAGACGCTACCATGGCGTGGAAGGTGAGGAAGCTGTGCCAACTCCGAGATAAACCCTGGCACTGGTTTGTGGATCTTGGACTCAGCCCTGGCTATGACTGTAATGTAGGCATGGGCGCTGACACAAGAAGGACGGGGACAGACCCCCTAACTTTGCAGGATCCAACGTTTTGCCAGGGTGTTTGATAAAGAGAAGCGCACATTAAATGTGAGTGTGATGCTCTGGTCCAATTTTGCCCCGTGGATAAGCTCCGTTTAGGATCCGATCAAGAGGACTTTCAGGCGGTGTTGGTCAATTGCTAACGGTTCTGGAGATAAGATGCTCTAAAGAGCTTAATAACTTTCTCCCATTCCCACTATCCATGATATCTTAGCGATTGCTCCCAAATCAGCTGTCTCACTCATTACAAAGGTATGCGATTATGGTATGTTCAACAAGGTATTTTAGTTGTTGAGCTATTCAGGTATTACGTAACTTGTGTGCGTATGTGAGGAGCATCTTGCATATAGGTTAGACAACAGTCATAGTCTTATCCCTCTGGAATTTGTGTTTTTGTGGTAATTTTTCTGACTAAACGGCAGAACAATTTGTGATTCAGTACGATGTTTTGGACTGCATGATTTAGCTCGGTGGATCTCCCGGAGCCCAGCATCACGGTAACACAGCCCTGTTGAGTTGTCTTTCTGTCAGGTTCACAGCGTAAGGCTCACAGATTCCAGTAGACGACCATGTCCCTACCCTTAAATCTCCGAGGCCCAGCGGGGACCTGCTAAACAGCTTTTGCAGGATCCATGATCTAGCTGGAAATTTCGTTTTAATATGCAATGAGACCCAAACCCAAGTGCAGTGATGGTCGAATTAACTCTGTGAACTGTTACTCAAAGAACTAAAACAGATCAACTGTAACTCAAGGAAGTCAAGGCTGCCCAGAAAAGCCGAATGACGAGTCCCAGTACGTTTATCCTCGAGCACTGCTTGTGAAAGCCTTGTACCAGTGGACACTGGACACGCGTTAATAAGAGACCAGCGGCAGTGAATGGTGTTTGCTGTCAAGTGACTCAGCCATGCGTTTATTTTTCCGGTGTGCTGCAACTCCCTTCGCGCCAATCTTCTTCTCAGTGATTATGATGCAACGGATGATCGTAATAGTCTGGCTAGTCTTTGGCGCATTTAGCGACATGCGTATTACCGATTGTCATTTCTTGACGAATGCCATTACCATCCGATTCACGGATATTCATGCCTAAACGTCTGCACGGGATGCCACCATGAGAACCAGTACGAAACGCTGGAGGCACCAACGAACCTTTCGGAGCCATTATATATTGCAACATCCAATTGCACAAACATAACAAAATGACATAACAAGACAAACACAACAAGGTCATGACGCCATCGTTTCATCCATCTGAAAATACGCGGGATTTAGCCCACTGTAGTCCAAACTGATCTTCATTTCAAGTTTCATTATCCGAACGCGCCGAGTCAGCAATCAATCCGACCCAATCCGAGTCAGCAATCATCTCGTGACACATCGCTGACGCCACCCCCGCCCTGGCGCGCGTGGCGGCGATGTCAGCTTCTCCGCCGCATCCCGCCGCGAGCACACTCGCTGCGCACGTCCAAATGGCGCAGTTGGAGCCAGCCGGGTCGGCGGACTTCGCCGGCGCGCTTCGAGAGGCTTCGGCGGCGCGGACCCGGCGGCCCGGCGCTCAGCGACCCGCGGGGACGGTCCGGACTCCTGTTCGGCAAATGGAACTTTCCGGCAGACGCGCCGCAGCGGCCGCTTGTCTGTGACGTCACAACCGAAACGCCGGATCCGGGCCTCGTTGCATCATGGGCCCGCTGCGGTCCGTCCAGGCGGCCCGAGATCAATGCCGCGAAGTAGCCCGCCCGGCACCAGGTCGCTCGGCCCTTTTGGGTCATACGCCGCCAGGGCGGTGTGTCGGCGGTCGGCGGAGCACGGCCGCTGCCGGTGCCGTCAGGGTGTCATCAGCTAAAATCCCGCGTGTCTCGCTCCCGGCTCCGTGACTCAGCCGACGTAATGCGTTTGCGCTGTGCCAGTGCCCCCCATCCGAATGACGCAGTGACAGCGGCAGGGTTACACCCCACGGGCACCTCTCTCTCTGACGGGGCTGCGCCCGTAGTGACGTCACAGCGCAAAGCGGCACACGTGACGCACGTCTAGTCTACCCACCCACGCTCTACACAGCTGCCTATCATACGCGTCCGTCCGGGGCGGGAGATCATCACCACGGCAACGACCGGCCCAGAGGTGAGATGACGGTCGGATGACCGTCATCCGGCCGGATGACCGACCGATGACCGTCATCCGACGACCGGCTCCGCCGAGTCGATAGCGTCACGCGGAAAGTTCGGCAGGGTCTCCACCTCGTTCACGGAGAGCACCTCCGTCACGCCGGGCACCTCCGCCATGAACGACGTGATCAGCACGTTGAAGGTGGTGAGGAAGACGGAGGCGATCATGCAGATGTTGTTGAGGGTTTCGGCCCTGCGGAAGTGGTCGGGTCGGTTGATGTTGTAGCGCATCTTCACCAGCAGGCACACGGCTATCATGACCTGCACGATCAGACTCAGCGAGATGAAGACCATGCAGGCGACGTAGAAGGGCGAGTTCGAGTCACCCGTTTTGAGCAGCGTGCGCAGCTGGTCGGCGTTGGCCGACAGCAGCGCCACGTCCATGAAGCCCTGCGCCACCGACTTCTTGGTGCTGTACACGTCCGGGTCGAGCCGCGGCATCGGTCGCGTGTCGGCCACTTCCTTCCACTTCTTGCGCGGACGCCGGGGCGCCGCCGGCCTGCCCGGCCCCAGGTCCGGGTCAAACGTCTCCACCTCGGACGGGTCGGCCCCGTTGGAGCGCAGGAAGTCCTCGCGGGGCATGGCTGGACCTCACGACGGCCGCTGAAACGGCAGGTTCGTCGACAGGTTCAGGCAAGTCGCGAACTTCAAGGCGTTTGCGGCCCGTCTACTGGCGGTAGTGCTCGCGCACGGGTCGGAGGGTCAAACCGAGGACGGTTTTCCTATTTCAACACCCAAATTGCGATTATCGGCGACAACACCGAGCGACGTGCTCGCTATGGCTGGCACGTGAGCTCTGACTTCACATTTGAACAGGACCTCGCCATATAAGCGGGTACTCCCCAAACGCCTCCACAGTCCACAGACACGTGTTGCTTTCTGAAACAACGGACAAGACTTACCGCTATTGCACAACGAGGACGAGATGCGAAGCACGATGACGTCACCAGGCCCGGGTGAAGCTCCAAGTAGGAGCCGCCAACTTACGTCGTCAGCGAGAGGACGCTCCGATGTGGCTCGAAGCACCGCCAGCAACCACGGGATCCAGCTACACGCCGAGCCGGGCGCGCCGCACCAGGCGCGTGATTCACAGATGGCGCCTGCCCCCAGGCACCGATTCCGGTCCGCTGGAATGTATGCAGGCTGGCCAACCCGCCGTCCAGCGACCTTGGCTCGAGGGGTAGTGATGCTCCTGACATCTAACAAAAATATTTAACACTAGAGTTTAAAAAACTGCTCGCTACGCGACGCACGCGGGCAGCTCGCCAAACAGCTGACCCATGTACTGCACGCACCGCACGTAAACAAAGATCGCTGTGCGCAAATTGTGTGCCGAATTTCATGAGCCGCGCGGAGCCGTCCCGGTTGGTGGCGGCCGCTTCTGTCGATTCACTCCCTGACGCGTCGCGCGCTGCCGCTGCGAGGACTGGGTTCAAGGTTAGTGGAGGCACACCCTTCGTTTTGTGTTAATTCTTGTATTTCAATAGGTTATCTGAATCCGCAAACGCAAAAGTCGAGAGGCCGCAGGCAAAGACGGGAAAGGAGTGGGAGCCACCAGCCTGCGCTAATTGTCAGGTCGAGGTACACATACAGGTAGATAGGTGGACCAATTTGGATAGGAAAGGTCGGATGTGCTGAGCAAACATAGTTTAGTACAGAAGCTGCTTTGGCACCATTGCAGGCTGCCACTTTGCTATGATGAGGGTATATGACCTTTCATAAAAGGAAAGAAACAATCCTTTTCTAAGAAGGATGCAAGGATTTACAATAAAGGACCTAAATGTGATTGCCTATGATTTTTCTCCTAAGGCCAACAAATTTATAACCCCAAATATGACGTGAAACCCAAGAGTCCCACTTAATTGCCTAAATATTGCCTAAATATTTTATGCTCTTGCTGTGATTGTAATATTTTATACTAAGACACTGGCATGAACAAATATCTGTGCTGCTGACCTACAAAGCTATCCATATGATCCATGCATATGGCTTCACACATAATTACCACAGCGTCTCAGCAAATTTTGCACATGTTTTGCCTGCATCAGACATGTCAGGTAATGCTAGGTAGCCTGCACATGCAGTAGCAGTTTTAGCTGTAACTTTCTGTGTCTTAATTAAATAACTGTTTTGTAGCCCCTGTGCACAAGAAGGTTGCTAATCACACCCTGCTGGAAAGCAGGTACCTATCAGCAATCTATCCACCTGTGGTATGATACCTGTGATGTCCGTGGTCAGAACAGGCAGCATGTCATCACATATACCATTTTGATGATCAAGATGCAGCTGCAGCCCATTTCCCAGACATTTCAGCAAATAAGGTTAATCCTGTTATGTCAACAAGAGGAACATGGGTATTCATCTATATCATACAGATCATTAAAAGCTCTAGCACTGGCTAGCTAGATGCTCTGTAGCAAGATAGTATGAAGGAGGATGTTATCTTACTGGCATCATTTGCTTGACTGGTGTAATGCATTGACATCCTTACTCCAGCCACACATACATTCATTCAATAAATGCTAAAAATTATCCTGCATCTGCACCAAGCTTCACCAGAATCATACATATATTTTAATGACATACACACAATGTTTTGCCTCATCTTGAAAGCACATCAGAAATACCAGGTTTGTTCTTGCTGTGTGCTCTTTTGCAGACCTATAATATCTTAAGGGATGGATATATCATAACAGCAACTTCAATTTTCTTGCAAAATGTAGATAGCATTCTTAAATGCTGGTATTTGGCAGGTAATTGCATCATATATGCCCTAAAAGCATTTTTTAAAAAATTCTCTTGCATTCAGCAATAGTGTGCAAAACTGATCTCCATGATTTTGCAGTGACATGAACTTGTTTTGACATTATTTATAAATGATGATAGGCATGAATTCATGTTCCAACTATGTAGACAAATGTTGATTTGCATAGTTAAGAAGATGACTGATTGGTAGCAATTACAGTAGGCTCTTGCAGAATGTAAGAGATAAAGCATAGCATGCAGCATTTCAGGGAACTAGGACAAGGGACTAGGACTAGGGATAGGACTTAGTGTCAAATGTGTCATGGATCATCATAGGACTTGCATGCAGTACAACAGAGCTATAATGTGATAAAGCTTCCCTTTGTTTGATGATCTGTTGGTTGGGATATGACTGACACACATATACCCAGATCTAACCTGTTAAAGGTCCTAGATCCTGAAGAAAGTTTTAATGTCAAGATAGAAATACTACATCTTGGGATCACAGGGTGGATTATGGATCCTAAGAAACTGTTTTTGAAAGATACAGTTGCAGGCAAAAATATAGAGATTTTTTAAAGTTTTATTTTTGTCAGAGTAATACCTCATATAATAATGTGAATGGCCAGTCATCATGCAGAATGCTCCCCTGACCTCTAATACTGGCATGAAATGCTGTATGCAAAGAGGCAGGCAGGTGAATGCCTGTTGTCTGACCTACCATCTGTCTCCAGCCATGATGGAGAGGGTCCCAGTGTGTGAGCTGTCCCCTTCTCCAACCACAGACTAAAACTGGTGTCTGACCTACCACCTGTCTCCAGCCATGATGGAGAGGGTCCCAGTGTGTGAGCTGTCCCCTTCTCCAACCACAGACTGAAACTGGTGTCTGACCTACCACCTGTCTCCAGCCATGATGGAGAAGGTCCCAGTGTGTGAGCTGTCCCCTTCTCCAACCACAGACTGAAACTGGTGTCTGACCTACCACCTGTCTCCAGCCATGATGGAGAGGGTCCCAGTGTGTGAGCTGTCCCCTTCCTCAGCCATGGACTGAGGCTGTTGTCTGACCTACCACCTGTCTCCAGCCATGATGGAGAGGGTCCCAGTGTCTGAGCTATCCCCTTCTTCAGCCACAGACTGAGGCTGTTGTCTGACCTACCACCTGTCTCCAGCCATGATGGAGAGGGTCCCAGTGTGTGAGCTGTCCCCTTCTCCAACCACAGACTGAAACTGGTGTCTGACCTACCACCTGTCTCCAGCCATGATGGAGAGGGTCCCAGTATGTGAGCTGTCCCCTTCTCCAACCACAGACCAAGGATCCCATCAGCTGACCTGGTGGGGGCAGGGAGCCAGGTCTGCCTCTATGAAGAAGTCAGCCTCCTCACCCCCAGTCAGCGTGCGTTTCCTCAACAACAGCTGCAGCGACCCAGATGGCTCTGGAGATGAAGGTCAGTAGGTCACCATGACCAAGGGCAGGTGATGAAGACTAGATGACTCTGATTGATGTAGATCATTGACAAGGCAAGGCTCTGTGGCATTTACTTCTCATTCACATTCCATAATCTTTGCCAAGTGAGGTTGCTGAGTAGACTTTAAGAAACAATTGAGTCACCTAGAAGGTTCCAATAGAAAGTTGGTTGCATGTAAGGCCTGTTGCACCCCAAGAAGTTCATCCATTTAGAATGCTTGGGCTGTTAAAAAAATCAAGACTTGATTTGCTTGCCACATTTGATCAACAGGTGAAACAAATAGACGTTGGTTTCATTTTGCGAGATTCCATACAGCAATTAATTGAGTACTCTTTAAGAACATAATTAACTATGTTTGATCCTCAATTTTTGCTTTACACTGTTGCAGCCAACAGCATTTGTTTGAGCACTGCTGACGGAAAGTGCACCTGAGTGGTTCGCGTCCTTCCACTCTCCTCTTCTGACAATAGTGGATACAACTCCCAAATGCAGCCCAGATTCTATCACAAGTGGCAGAAAAGCATATACACCATGTAGAGAGGAGCATTATTAGTTAGCAATACCTGCAGTGGTGATACCAGCTTCAATTATAACAGCTATCGCCTAACGGTAGGCGCTTGGCATCGCTCGTGCACGTGGCGTTCCAAAAATGTTGTCAATACTGAGCTAACAACTCTGTGATGTCGCCTGCAGCAGGCCAACTGGAGCTGCAAATGGGTAAGCCTGTTTCTGCTAAATGTTACGCTTTTGGGCCCCCATGTCGCGTTCGCGTCAGTAGGCTGTTTTCTTAGCCTGGTTATCTGCCGTCCTTGTGTACAGCATGTTAAGTGTGTTATATTGGACTTTGTGGCTTCAGTTTTGCTTGGCTGGAATCGCGGTGTTTTCTCTGATGTGTGTATGTGTGTGGTGGCTTTATTTATGGTTATAATTTCAGTCTTGTTTGCTGGGCATTATGTTTTCTGGCGAATTCTGTCGATATATCGCTGCTTACGTTTCCAGGGCATTTGTATGTAACGCTGTCAAAGTATATGTATTTGTATGAAACATTGAAACACGTCGATATCCCTTGCTTACATACCTATGTGGGCAGCTGTATGAAGCATTGGTTGGATATGGTACTGTTCTCTCAATTGCCAAGGAATGTAAACACACATTATTTTCGGTGATGCTGTTATCATTAATTTTAAGTATAAATTATAATTTGGGTTAAGGAACAGAATCTGATTCACTCACATTACGTTTCATCTCCATGGCTGCCTTGCATGGCAGCCGCTTTTTGACCTTTGTAACTTGCGAGGTCGGAAGCATGACGTTCTTGTAAGAAAGGCTCGCCAAATGACGCTCAGTAGACCAGGGACGGTGGGTTTGTTTGCCGGGGGCCGTTGAGTGAACTCCGTTTTAAGATCCATCATTGCAGACTGGCTGCAAGCTATGCGATGCAGTATCGGCCAAAAGCTGTCCATTGTCCTTTTCTGTTGTTTTTGTTTTTGTTTATCGTACCAGAACCCTGGCTTATCTGCGACACCTTAATGTGCAACGGACGAACAAATTATCACTGTGCAGTGGCTGTCACAGTATTCCTTTTATGGCGCTCTTATGCTTCTGACATAATGTGTAGTGTCTGTCTGACCGCTGAGGAGTATTTGTGGCGGAGACTGTCAACCTACTAGTGTTACATGAGGTGCTTTCGTGCTGTGATGTGCGTTCCGTCAGTTCTTGCCCGTCGCTCATGTTTGTTCGTCGAAGCTCACCCTCTGTTGATGCCTCTGCATATATATATATATATATATATATATATATATATATATATATATATATATATATATATGGGTGTGAGCGTGTGCGTGCGTGCGTGCGTGCGTGCGTGCGTGCGTGCCTGCGTGCGTGCGTACGTGCGTACGTGTGTGCGTGAGTGCCTTCGTAAGTGCCTTCGTAAGTGCGTACGCGCGTTTGGGACTTTATGACGCACTCGGTTGCTGGGGGTATCTGGCGTCGCCTGTCTGTCGCCCGGGCATGAAGGGCAGTGCAGCACAGCGCCTCGCCCGAGCTCCGGCGCCATGCTCCTCTGCATGCGGTCGGTGACCGCGCTCCGCGCCGCCCTCATTCGTGGCTGGCGCTGTCGCTCTGCTGCTATGTGACGCGACCTGACCGGCGGCTGACGGCCTGTCGCGGCCCGGCGGCCCCGCTCGCTCTGCTTGCGTGCGCGGGCCCGCCGTGCGCGCCCGCCGGCGTCCTGCCCGTGCCGCCACGCCGTCGCCAGCGCGCCGCTGGCGGACGCGAGAGCTTGCCGCTTGCGCGACCGTTCCATGTCACGCGTCGCCACGGTGGTGGTCAGCGACGTCGGCGAGCGTCTCGGCCGTGCGCGGAGACGGAAGAACCGACGGGACGTTAAGACGGGGCCGGGCCCTCGCGCGCGCCGCCGCGCCGCGGTCGCTCGAGCACATGTGTATATGGTCGCTGCTGCAGCGCGCTGCCGGCGCGTCCGGCGCTGTTCAAGACCTGTGCTCGTCGCTGACGGGCCGGCCGGCGCCGCCGCCGCCGGGCCGCCAGCAAGGTAACCTCGCTATTGATCGGTGCGCAGTCGACAACACCTTGTCATCTTGTCATGGACGTCTGCGGACGTCCGGCCGCGGAGGAGCGGACCGGTGACCCCGCGGCGATCCCGCGACGGCCGCGCGATGGCCGCGCGACAGCCCGCGACGGCCCCGCGGCGGTCCCGCAGCGGCTCCACGACCACCTCGCGACCACCCCGTGACCACCCTGCGACCACCCCGTGACCACCCCGCGACCACCCCCCGCGACCACCCTGCGACGGCCTCGTGACAGTCCCGCAGCGGCTCCACGACCACCTCGCGACCACCCCGTGACCACCCTGCGACCACCCCGCGACCACCCCGCTACCACCCCGCGGCCACCCTGCGACGGCCCCGTGACAGTCCCGCGGCGGCTCCACGACCACCTCGCGACCACCCCGTGACCACCCTGCGACGGCCCCGTGACAGTCCCGCAGCGGCTCCACGACCACCTCGCGACCACCCCGTGACCACCCTGCGACCACCCTGCGACCACCCCGCGACCACCCCGCGACCACCCTGCGACGGCCCCGTGACAGTCCCGCAGCGGCTCCACGACCACCTCGCGACCACCCCGTGACCACCCTGCGACGGCCCCGTGACAGTCCCGCAGCGGCTCCACGACCACCTCGCGACCACCCCGTGACCACCCTGCGACCACCCCGCGACCACCCCGCGACCACCCCGCGACCACCCCGCGATCGACCACCCCGCGACCACCCCGCGACCACCCCGCGACGGCCCCGTGACAGTCCCGCGGCGGCGGCATCACGTGCCGCGCTGCACCGCCCGGCCGTTGGACGGCATGCCACGTGTGGCGTCCGCCGCCGGTCGTGATTCATTGTTGTCACGTGTGGAACACACTGAGGACGGTGGTGTTGCGCGAGTAGTCGGGGCTCGGCGAGATTGCTGGGTCGTGCAAGCGGCATGGGTCGTTCGGCGAGGCCGATTAGGAAGCGTTGTTGATAAGATCGCGTTATCGGTAGTGATCCGCATTTGGGGGGACGGGCAAGATGGGATTAGTTTCGTCGCCAGAATTTTCGTTCGGTGTGGAGGCCGATGTGGTACAGCGGGCGTGGCTGCCTGATTTTTCAGCCGCCGCTGCCTTCCTCGGCTCACAATCGCAGCACAGGTGTGAGGGTGGAGGGGGGAGGGGGCGATGAATGTAACATGTAGCTGCGCAACAGCGTAGCAGGCCGGGTGTTGCGGGACTTGGCTCGGTAACCGCTACTGAGGCGTATTTTTCACGAATGATTAAATCCAACCTTTCAGAGTTTTTCCTCCACCGATGTTGCAGTACTGAAGTGAGGGGGCGCGATAGCGCCATCATGAGTTACCGCGTAGCTGTATGTTTTAGGGAACCCAGACAAGCGTGGAGGCGTCGGTTGTCGTCGAGCGATGGCGACAGCTACGGTTTTGTTCAGATTGCGAGGTACTTTGAACCGTTTAGGCGAAATTTGACGTAAATGTATACCATCCAGATTTGGCTCCCAGTATTTTTGGCCGGTCTTTCCATAGTTGTTTCGTGCCAGGTTGCATGCACCAAGTATTTCGAGCGTTGGGGCAGTTATGGTCCATTGCGCAGCAACATCTGGTCGCGGATCGAGCTAACGCCAATGCTCTGTTTGCCAACTGGCGAACGTTGTACACGTTTCTGATTGGATTTTTGTATCAATTAAGTGCTACGCGCAAGCGCAAGCTGAAATGTCAGGTGTTGATGACGTGCGACGCGACTTTTACCACTTACAGTTAGATCGTTTTGGTGACTCCGTTACATCTGTTAGATAAGGTCCGTTTTTGGAGACTGGGACTCGTGAGACTCCGTCGGTTTCCTGTCGCACTGCCTTGCAAGCAACGATGGCGCGTAATTCGCGTTTTGTGTGTGTAAGGAACAGGCCACGCGCCGTTCTGTGTGGACGTATGCCACTATACGTATTATGTTCTGACAGGACGCATACCAGCATACTTGACAAGACACGCCACGCGGCCTAAATAGGAGATGAACCACTATTCGTGCGAACTGTCGTTAACAAAGGATCGCTGACGTGGGCGTTGGTACATGCAAACTGTATGGTGTAACCGACCATTTTCCGCAACTAACTCATTGAGGATGTCGGGCCGGTTGGACGGCGGCCAGCATTGTTATGTGTTTTGTTCGAAGCCGTTGAGGTGTATGACTGTAGGGGGCAGATGTCTGGTGTCTTCGTGCCTGCGTGCAGATGTCTGGCGCGGACTGGTCTGCTGTGCCGCTCACGCCGTACCCACTCGCTGGCAAAGTCAACAGCCTGTTGGTGCATGCATAGGGAACGCGTGTGAAGACGCGCACGCGTCGCCTGTCGACACTCAGTCAGTGACTTCATGTCGGCATTGCGTGCCATTGAGCGAAACCTGTGGCCAGCACGCCGTGTTTACATTGTAACGCGTGGACCCCGGGCCGACCGTCGTCCTCGGCGGTGTCCTGCCCCCTCCCCCCCCCCCCCAACCGGCCGGACGTGACTCATCTGCGCGTGCGGTGACTCATCTGCGCGTGCGTAGGCGTGCCCTCTGCGCGACCGGGTGTCCTGCGCCTCGTCTGTGTGTGTGTATGTGCGCAGCGGCCCTACGCGTAACAGGAGTAAGACAGCGCTGTTCGTCGGGATGGCGGGAGGGGGACGACACGCGCTGATGGCGCTTCACCTGAGTGTGTGTGACAGCGTGCCACCCACACCTCATCGGGGACCCACTTTCTTTGTGTGTTGGCCTGGTTTTAATTTCCGTTGCGTAGTTCAGCGCCACTGTGTGCAGGATTTGAGTGTTGCACTTTGCAGGACCCGCTTGCGACCATTATCAGGTCCCACGGTCGTGCGCTGGGCGCTGACGCTCCTGCGCATGGCGTAAACGTCACTTGTGCTGGGCGCCGCCGTGCGCCAGCTGACTGACGCCCGGCCGCGCACCGTGCTGGGCGTGACGCTGCTGATGCTGTGCGCTGGCCGGAGCGCGGCCGTGTGCGAGCCCGGGCGGCACCCGTGCGCCGGCACTGAGCGTCCGGCCGTCGGCAGGGCTGGAGGACGACCGGCAGATACAGGAGGAGGCGGCCGGCGACGGTCAGAGGGTAGCGGGGACGTCTGACCCGGCCTCCGCCCCGCTGCCGCCGCCGCCGGTGGCGCCGCCGCGTAAACACTCGACACGCAGCCGGGCGGAGGAGTGGAGGGGCGCCCTGCAGGACCTCTCCCCGGTCAAAGGTCAGTGACCCGCGGAGGAGTGGAGCGGCGCCCTGCAGGACCTTTCCCCGGTCAAAGGTCAGTGACCTGATGACCAGAGGTCAGTGTCCCACTGACGTGAGGAGGAGTGCCCTGCAGGACCTCCCTCCCGTCAAAGGTCAGCGACACGATGACCAGAGGTCAGTGTCCCACTGACGAGAGGAGGGGTGCCCTGCAGGACCTCTCTCCCGTCAAAGGTCAGTGACCTGATAACCAGAGGTCGGTGTCGTACTGACGAGAGGAGGGGTGCCCTGCAGGGCCTCTCCCCCGTCAAAGGTCAGTGACCTGCTGAGGAATGGAGGGCCGCCCTGCAGGACCTTTCCCCGCCAAAGGTCAGTGACCTGATGACCAGAGGTCAGTGTCCTGACAAGAGGAGGGGTGCCCTGCAGGGCCTCTCCCCCGTCAAAGGTCAGTGACCTGCTGATGAGTGGACGGGAGCCCTGCAGAACCGCTCCCCCGTCAAAGGTCGGTGACCTGCTGGCGAGAGGCCAGTGTCCTGCGAATGACCCACGATTGAACTGTTGCTCCTGCTCACGCGGCACGCGAGAGTTAGTGCTAATATCTACTGAAACATGGTGTGCTCATGTAAGGTCGACCAGGCCTAGAACCCAGGCCCACCGTCGTTTAACGCCATAAAATGACTGTCACCATTATGTGACTAACGTAAATTATCTGAGCACTCGACTGCCTAAACAGGTTAACATCGCCCGCCTCCGTGAAACTTCGTAAGGTCGTCTCGTACAGAAAAGGTGTCGCGGGCTACCAGTGCTGTTACGCGTCTCACGTCGTCTCCCCCCCCCCCCCCCGCCCTGCAGCAGCGTTTCAGAATTGCCTCAGCTAAAGGTGTCATTTAGACCGAGCTGTACTAGCCAAATGTTACAAGGACATCGAAAACAACGAAAAATTAGGTACGTCTGTGAATCGGAGACTAACAGTGATTAGCGAAAGCAGAGAGAAATTAGATACACCTCTTAATGAGAGGCCAACAGCTACGAAAGTAGTTCAAACTGCGAGCACCAAATCGTCCTTAAAATTGCTAGTTTCCAGCCGAAATGCTGAGTTTTGACGACCTGCTTGGCAGAGCTGGTGTCGCGGCTAGGCAAGACGCGCTCGTCGAGCGTCGACGCAACGGCGGCGACGGCGGAGAGGGCCGACAAGGCGGCCGGTAAGACGGCCGCGGCCACGGACAGAGCGGAGAAGGCGACCGGGAAGGCGGCGGCCACGGCGGAGAAGGCGGCCGAACCGCGACCGAGCCAGGACAGCGATGCCTGGGCCCGGTTCGCCGAGCTCAAGGGCAAGATCACCAAAACTGTTGAGGGTACGTGTCGCGGTGAGCAGAGAGAGGTTGCCGACATTATGGGGGGGGGGGGGGGGGTCGGTTGGCAAGAAGAGGGGAGGCACTGAGAGGGGGCCGATGGAAGAAAAATATGCTATGGTCTCGTTGGGGTTGTGCGGATGGCGCGAGGGAAGGAAAACTTTATGGCGCGAAGTCCGCGAGAGGATACGCGCCGGAACGAGCGCCAGAGGAGCGGCAGGTCTCCGTGGTTTCCGGTCGGGGATGTTTGTTCCGTCCGGAGTATGTTGAAACACGTGTGTGCTGGTTGGATGCGTCCGCCGGTCGGATCTGGACGCCAGTCGGACGCGCAGGTCAAACAGCAGGCGATGGCTTGTAAACGCTGTATATCAACGAGACTGATGACGTCGTCAGCGAAAAGCGCAAAACATGTCTAGCGGCTCGTTCGCTCCCTCGCTTGACACCGGCGCGCGGCGCGTCCGCAGAGAAGATCAGCGACTACCGCGGCGGCTCTCGGCCGGCGGCCAGCGCGGCGCCGGCCGCCTCGGAGCTGCTGAGCGAGGCCGACGTGCTGGAGGCGGTGCGTGACTCGCCGCCGCCGTCGCCGGGCGCGCGCGCGGCGCCCGCCGACTGTCCGGACGTGGCGTTCGTGAACGTGCCGACTCCGGTGGCGGCGCCGGCGCCGGCGCCGGCGACGGCGGCGGCGGCAGTCGACGCCGCCGAGCCGGGCGCCTCGCCCTCGCGCCGCGAGTTCCGGCTGGCCAGCATCCGTCCCAAGATCTACGAGCGGCTGCAGCGGCACGTCGGGCGGCCGGCAGTGCCGCCGCCGGCCCCGCCGCCGCCGCCCGACAGCGTCACGCTGTCGGCGCTACAGGGCAAGTACATCGACGAGGAGGCGGTGGAGGCGGCCGAGGAGGCGGTGGAGGTGGTGCCGGTGCTGTCGCCGCCGCCGCCGGCGCCTGCGGAATCGAGCCGACGGCGGTGCGGAGCGCTCGCCGCCGCCGCCGATCATTGCGGTGACGGAGCCGACTGACGACAGCGGCGGCACCGGCGGCGGTCTGATGGCGGCGCTGCCTGGCCCGCTGGGCCGCCGCTGGCTGGCGCCGGCGCTGGTCGCGCTGATGGCCGCTCCGCTGCCGCCCTTCCTGTCCGGCCTGCTGCTGGGCGCGGCGCTGACTGCGCTGCTGGCGGCGCTGCTGCTGCCGCTGCTGCGGCCGGCGCCGCGCCGCCTGCCCCCAGCGCTGGTGCTGACCGACGTCCGTCCGCACGTCCGGGAACACCGGCCGTCGCTCATGCACAAGGTGGGTCGGACGGCCCGCGACCGCTACCTCGCGGAGAGGGACTTGGCCGAGGGCCATGTGGCCGGGAGAGGTTTGACGCTACACGGGCCTCGCTGCGGTGACGCGGAGGCTGGTCGGCATTCTCTCCATGCGCGTATTGATGGATATCTTTCGGGGTGGGTGGGGGGGGGGAGGGGGGGGGGGGTGGTATGCCTCGTGCGGTAACGCCTGTCAGCCGCGCCCTTTAACAGGGTCCTGTTGCCGACGGATGTCGGGTTTCCCTGCTGGGTCACAGACTAGTTGGGTCCTCGTTTTTGGCAGCTTTGCGTCACGTGTGATCGGTCTCTTGTTACCATTAATCCTTGCATGGCTTCGTCTTACAACGCGGTCGCATTAATTCGCAGTGCGTCATCAGTGGCTTGTGTGTCAGCGACGCTGATTCAGCGCTACCGTCATGTTTGGAACTTTTGACAGGTGCAATGCAAAAGGCAATGCCGCTTTTCTTACGCTTTATGTTTGCTGTTGGAATCCCTTGAAAGCTGCGGCACTTTGCAAGAAAATCTTTGTAGTTGTTCAGGCATGGCGAATATTGTTCTGCTCGCATCGCTCTGAACCGCGCGTGTGGACGTGCCAGGTCATCTGGCTCTCCCATCTCCTGTCTCCTGTTTCCTGTCTCCTGTCTGCTGTCTCTTGCCGTGTCTCCATTGAAACGCGGTCCCCTTTTAGCTTGCGGCATAGTACGCGTGATAGTACCCGTCCTTTAAACACCTGCTTGATCGCGATGAATGTCACGTGCCTTTTAACCTTTCGCGCAACGAAATCGCATCGCGCCGTTCCCTTGATGGGTGAACTCAGTTGTTTCCATGCGATGTCAAAGACGTGCCAACTTCAAAACGTCCCGGTACACTAGTCGGTGATCGTGGGCTTAGGAAGCTACCGTAATACCTGGGTAATGGATGAATCTGGTGATAGTTGGTGCGTATAAATGCTGAATCCGTTTACCAAGGCTGTAACAGAATAACGGCATTGCCTTTGGAATACACCTGCGATCGCTCCCACCATCGCCCCTATATATGCTAGAAAAATATACTCGTAACAATCTACCATCGTATCGTGGAATAATTTCTGTCCCTGGTTCCCAGACATGTTCGTATAACTTCGCCGCTATACGACGTCGCCGCTGTATGGCGTTACTCTCTGGACGTGTCCGCGCACGTAGCGCCAGTTTGCAGGCGCTGCTGCGTGGCGCGACCACTGTTTGACATCATCACGCGGACAGTATTTGCGCTGTGGCGCCATTTCGCAAACACCGCCGCATAGCGTCACCGTGCTGACGTGTCCGAGCGCCCGGGCGGGGGTTCCCGGCTCATGGCGCCACCACCCGCGCGTGTCCGCGCGCTGCGGTGGCCGTCGCGCGTCGTCACCGCGTGACTTCACCACGCCGGCGTGTGACGCGCGGTGGTGCCTCCCGGTGCCGGCCGCCGTGTGTGACGCTGCCTGACGCGCGCGCCTGCGCCGCCAGGACTGGATGCACGAGCTGCTGGTCGAGCCGTACGAAGCCGGACACGCACCAGCCCACAGAGGCGCGCTTCGTCCGGCTGGAGGGCAGCATGCTGCGCATCTCACACCCCAAGGGTGAGCAGCGGCTCTCACCGGCGGGCTCTGACGCTGCGGGGCGGTGGGCAGGCTCACCCGGGCTTAGCTGGGAGGTTTGTGGTTGTGGGCGTTTGGACGCCGCCGGTCGTTTTACGTCATGACGCTGTCGCACAGGGAAGTACCGCATCGGATGAGAGCCATCGTCCGAGAGTGGAGGCACTGGGAGGTACTACACTGAGTTTAGCTCTCGTTCGGAAGTTTTATAGTGCGCTGGTGGGTGGATCTCATCTGGCATAATCCCATATCCAAAACGAATCCGTGCGCTTACTGGCAGAATGATTGCAAAACATTTCGTCTGGCCGGGAACGTCGAACGCTGTCGGTGTATCGATCATGATAATGGACACCGGGTTTATTGATTTAGCCAGCCAAAACGCCTCCCTGTGGTGGATGTCACCACTGGTGCTCTACCAGTGCCATGCACGCTATCTGGCGAGCGGGCGGTTGATGGCAGCGCGTTCGATTTACGATTGCGGAGAGAGTAACATTGCGGAGGTGGTATTCACTCGGGGCGGGGTGTGAACACGTCCGCCCGGCCGGCAGGCCACGTGCCGAAGCGCGCCACCTGCGACGAGCACATCCCGAGCCTGCCGTTCGTGCAGCAGCGCATCTACGACATCGCCGGCTGTTCGGTGGAGCTGCAGCCGGCCGGGCTGCATCACACGCGGTAAGAGCGAGCGCCAGGCGCGCGACACCTGGCGCCACGGCCGGCGCCATGCGGGGCCGGCGGTGAGGGGGGGGGGGGGGGGGAGGGCGAGTAGTCAGAAGATGGGATCCAGGTGTATTGGAATATTTTAGGCTTTTAGGTCAGTTGTGAACGGCTTGAATGTGGTTTTTCTGACTTGCTTTTATGGCATTCTACACGAATGGGCAGTTAAGAAGGCAGGTGCTGGTGGTGAAGTCCAGCTTTTCAGCACTGTTTGCAACCAGCGCTTTTGTGTTCACTTGAGTTGCATTCGTCGGCCGTGGCTTCAGACTTCCGCCCTGCTCATTGTATTTGCTGGCTATGCTCTCGTTGGGCTGGTATGACTCCGTTGCTCGTAGCGCCTGCTGCCCCCTCACCCCCCCCCCCTCCCCTTGCCCTCCCCCAACACCTGGCACGGCCCTACGCGCCGACAGACGGTGGAACCGGCGCTACCCGCTGTGCGTGCGACTGGAGAACTGTCGGCGCGTGACCCGCTCGCGCGGCCTGGGCGCCGGGCCGCAGCGGAACGCCAGCTTTACGGACCGGACCGGCTCGAGCCCCCAGCGCAAGATCAGCGCCGCCGACCGCGCCGCCTCGGACCGCTCGCAGACCTCAGGTGGGTCGCGTGGTCCGGAGACCGGCTGTCCGGGTGGCGGGACCGTCGCGTGTGGTGGTCGGGCGGCGGCGGGACAGGCACGGCGAGCGGCCCGCCAGGCCGGTCACGTGGGCGGGGGATCCGCCTGTTGTTCTGGGTCGGCCACACGCTCGTAGGTTAGGTTTCAGATGTCATTGGTGTGTTTGAGAGTTGTCCCGGGATGTTGATGTGTTGCGAGTGTTTGATAATTGTTTCTAAATGTTGATGTGTTGCAGATGTGTGATAATTGTTCTTAGATGTTGATGCGTTGCGGATGTTTGAAAGTTGTTTCTGGATTTTGCTTCGTTGCGGGTGAATATGTGGGATAGCCGCTTACAGGTTACGAATCGTTTTCTGAGACGTGTAGCTGTCGTATAAGTCTTGGCTACGAAATTTAGGGTCGCGCCCCATCTTCTCTTTGTTGAAGCCTGTCATGCTAGGCACTCTGCAGTTAAGTTGCTGCCAGCGTGCCTCATCATAGCAATCGGGTTTTCACGTTTTTGGTTTCGATCAAGTATCCTAATCTCATAGCATCGATGCAGTTATGTTCTACATCGTCAGCACCAACACATGTTAAATCCTCACAATTACAAACATAGGGCTGTGCTGACCACACTGCCCGCCCTGCCGCTTCTCGCCGCGCTGACCGGACCCGTTCACCGCCTCAGACGGCGAGTGGGAGCCGGGCAGCGAGGAGACGGCAGCGCTGGACGGCGCGCCGCCGCCGGACGCCGAGCCGGTGCTGACGCTCTTCGCCCGCACCGATCGCGGCAAGGAGGAGTGGTGAGTGAGGGACGGACGGTCGCCGTCCCCGGCGCCAGCGCGCGTGATCGGAGGAGGCTGCTGCGAGGCGTCCGGCGTCCGGACCGGGATGGGACCCGCGCGTATGATTTTCGGGAAGGTCGTTCACTGGACTGCCACTCAGGGGTCGCGGGGTTCCGAATGTCGCATCCTTCGCGATGCATGGCGTGAATGCCAGTATGCAAACTAGACAGGCGGCCTCTTCGGCTGACGTACCAGCGCAGGACAGCGATGCCGGCATCAGAGAACAGGGCGGCCAACGCCGTGTGCCCTGTCACTCGTCGCGCCCAGCGGCTGGTGGCACATTGTGCTGCGCGTCTGCCTGCTGCCCACCGTCCCGTGCGCCTCGTGCCGACATGGCTCGTCTCCACGCCGTGACCCGCTCGGCCGCCCGGGTGCGACCGGCAGGTTCCGGCTGCTGAGCCAGGCCACAAGAACGGGAGAGCGGCCGGCCTCGCCCGCTGCCCAGCCGCCGCCGGAGGCAACCGGGGTCCCGGCGGCGGCGGCGGCCCCCGCCGCAACTGGACAGGAGGAGCCGGCCGCCGCTGCCGCCGCCACCGCCACCGCCGCTGCTGCAGAACCGACGCCCAAACTCGACTTCGACTACTACATGTCCAAACTGGTGACGGCGGTGAGCTGGGAGCGAGCCGCCCGAGAGAAATGTTTGGGTGTTGTTTGCGACTTGAGGGAGGTTCCCACGGCTGGAGGCCCTCACTGTAGGCGGACAGGACTGGTGATGCTGCTTGTTAGCTCATCTGTGTTATCTCGCCGTGTCTGGGAGCGTCCGCTGACCCCGGCTGACCCCTGCTGACCCCCGCTGACCCTAGCTGACCCCAGCTGACCCCCGCAGACCCCAGAGGGCGGCTCAGACTCCCGGCCGCCGTCGCCGACCGATGGCGTCAATCCCGCCCCGGTCGCCACCGGTCACGTGATGTGGTTCAACGCGCTCATTGGCCGGCTGGCGTTCGGCGTGTTCGGCAGTCGGCCATGGGTAGAGTTCGTGCAGCGCCGCATCCAGCGCAAGCTGTCGCGCATCAAGGTGGGTCTGCGTCCTTCAGCACCAAACACCGCCATTGGACAGTGTTCAGGCGCGTGGCCATCGTTTGTCAGGTCGGAGTCTTCTGCATTGAGGGCGTGCTGTGACATTGTTGTGACACCTGAGCTCATTGTTGACCTGTGCTACACTCCATGTCTTTAGCTGCCAGCTGCATTGAAGAACTTGTGGGTTCGAAGGTTTGTTGTGCTGTAATTTGTGTGTTTTGTCTCCAGCCGCCGTTCTTTATCGAGGAGCTGGTGGTGACCTCGTGCGACCTGGGCTCGGTGCTGCCGCGCATCCTCTCGGTGAGCGCGCCGACCAGCGACGAGCGCGGCCTCTGGACCGACATGGCCGTGCTGTACGAGGGCGGCGGCTGCATGACGCTCCGCACCAAGGTCAACCTCATGAAGCTGAGCAAGGTCAGTGGCGCACCGGGCGCGCGGGCAGTGGCGCGGCTGGGTGATCTGGACTGCTGATCGGTGAGCTCGAGTTCGAACCCCGCGCATCGCTGAAATGTTCCACAGGTCGCGGTACGACAACCAGCCTGAACGGCCGCCACGCTGATGGCCTACGTGCGTCTGTGGTGATCGGTCATTACCCTGGGGGCGGCGGCTGTGCCATAACTGTGCCTGTGCTGTGCTGTCTCTCGGAAGTGCCATGTTGTGGCGATGTGTGCTGTATCAGTCTGATGTATGCCGTTCACCTGTTGTTACAGCTGCTCCATGATCGACGCGTATTTTTCGGTCTGCCGTGTATGCCATCTGGTTTGTCTGACGTCTTTGACGTATCTGTCCCGCTGTGTCGAAAATACGGAATTATACGCTTGCCAAGCGCGCCTGTTAGCCGGGTCGGACACGTGGGTGTGACTTGTCTTTGGTGCGTCATAATTGTGGATTCCTCTGTCTAGCGGGCTGGAAGATCGGTACGTCCTAACTGATCATGCATCACGCGTGTACGTGCTTGTATTTTAGTTTGTCTGATGTTTCTGGATGCCGTCAAGTGCGACGCGTCCTGTGTGTGTTTTCTGTGAACAATGCCGCTGCCCGCTCGCCATCGTGCGTGCCTTGTCTGACGTCTCGTGGGAGCGCGCCTGCCGGTGCTAACGCCGCTGCCCGCCGCGGACAGCCGGAGAAGGAGCAGGCGGCCGAGACCAGTGGTGATAAGGACAAGAGCAGCGCGGACAAGGACGGGGAGAAGGAGCCGCTGCCGTCGCCGTCCTCTCACGCCGACGGCAAGACGGAGAGGTACCGGCCGGGGCTGACACGGGTTGGCAGGCGTGACGGAGGGGAGAAGCACAGAGACGGGCCGGGCGGAGAGGTACCGGCCGGGGCTGGCGCGGACCGGCAGGCGCGACAGGGAGGGGAGGAGCACAGATACGGACCGGGCGGAGAGGTACCGGCCGGGGCTGGCGCGGGCCGGCAGGCGTGACAGGGAGGCGAGGAGCACAGAGACGGGCCAGGCGGGCTGTGTGAGACTGTAGAGGACGTGAGGAGCGCGCGCGGGATGTGACACGGGACTGATGAGTGGCAGGCAGGGTGGGCACGCGGCAGTGACCAGCACGAGGGCGGAGGGCGGCGCGCGACCTCTGGTGGAGCCGGACGTGTCCTCGTCGTTTTCGTCAGGCTTTTTGGGAGTGGACCGAACGCTTAATAGCAATCATAGTATGTAAAATGCAAGGCGCAAAGCCTGCAACTAAAATGTCCTGTGCCCTGATGCGTCTAATGCGGACAGGCAAGCAGATATTTGTAATGCTAGTATGTTTATTGTGATGTGTATCCCGTATGTACCCGGATATTTTTTAGGTTATTTGCGTGTTCACATAGGAGGGCCCCTCTTCCTTGTTCCCGTAGCACGTCAAAACTCGACACGCGTCCCCGCCCGTCAGCATCACCGATCAACCAGCAGCTCTCCGCGGGTGTGAGGCATCGCACGCACCGAGGGCCGCCGCGCCCCGCGCTGCCGGCTCCGTCCAGCTGACCGCGTCCCGTTCACCGTCTCTCGTCCGTTCCAGCTGCGCCGTGTACCAGTGCGACCGCAACGACGACCTGGCGAGCATGGACTCGTCCAGCGACGAGGAGGACGTGGACACCTCGGGTGGCTCGGACGGGTCAGTCGGGCGCCGCCGCGCTCCCAGCCGATCCCCGGGGCTTTGTCGCTGCCGTGTTAACGCGAGACGGCGGCGCCGGGCTTGGTCCGATCTTTGCGGAGCGAGATAAAGCCGACGCAGCGTGGCACGGCCCCTCTGTCGCTGGTAGTGTACCGCAACCGGCGGGTGCGTCGCTCCTTGCGCGTTTGCGGCAGTGTGCGTACACGGCGTGTCACTTGGCCGGGTGTGGCCGCCCGGCGCGTGCCAGGCTCGGTCAGCCGTGACAGTGACGTGCCGGCGTGTCCGCAGGGGCAGCCCGCCCTCGCCCGCCTCGCCCTCCCAGCCGTCCTCCAAGGTCGGCAAGCGGTTCATGCAGGTGGTCGACAAGGTGACAACCTCGCGCTACTTCCAGCAGGTACGGACGCTCGGCGCACGGGCTCGCGCTCCTAGGAAAGGTCCTTGGCAGACGTGTCGAGACCGCTCGCTGTACAGTGGGTTCGTCCGGCGTCGCGTGCGACGCCGCTTGTTGCTAATGCGCCGCGCCGCTCTGCAGGGGTCCATATTCAGTGATCAGATAGTTGTGTTGCGGAGCACTTTGAATCTGTAGTGAGTCATTTTACGCACGTCTGGTTGTGGATTTACGCGGGTTTAGTTTGCTGCGAAAACGCCGGTGTCGGACGTGGTTGGTGCGGACCAAACGAGGCGCCTGGCTGTAATGCATCTTCGTTTAGCAATCCGTTTGGAAACCTAGGTTGCGTTTTTGTGACGCAGGTTTTTGTTATTCGCTATGCTTGTGTCAAAATCAGCGGCCGCAAGACTTGCGGACCCCTGTTTACGCTTCAAGCCGGTGCCACTCACGTCTTCCTGTCGTGTCCTGCGGCGCCTGGTCTGTTCCCGCGCTGCTGTCAGTTAGGAGGCCGTGCTGTCTCCCAGCCGATGTCAGCGGCCTTGCCAAGGATGCCGAACACATTCAGCAGTTTTGCGCCACTGTGCGTCATTTCTCGCCATTTCTGCTGGTGTGAGGCAAGCTCGATAGGACACGGCCCTGACGCCTTCTTGCCTGCTCCACCCTCCCGACGCATCCCTGTTTCTCCCCCTGCCCCGGCGCGTCCCTGCTCCAGCCTCCCGACGCGTCCCTGCTCCACCCTCCCGACGCGTCCCTGTTTCACCCTCCCGACGCATCCCTGTTTCTCCCCCTGCCCCGGCGCGTCCCTGCTCCACCCTCCCGACGCGTCCCCGTTTCTCCCCCTGCCCCTGGCGCGTCCTTGCTCCACCCTCCCGACGCGTCCCCGTCTCGCCGTCCTGACGCACACCGCCGGTCGGCTGCAGGCGGCGCAGAACCGATACGTCAAGCGCTACATGGAGGAGTTCTCCAACACGCCGCTGGAGTTGACGGTGACGCTTAAGCACCTGCAGGGCGTGCTCACACTCAACGTGCCCCGGCCGCCCAACGACCGACTCTGGTGAGTGGCAGCGGGCCGGCCGGGGGTCCCCTCAGGTCAGGTCGGACTGGGGCAGGGGCAGGACAGGCTGAGAAGCCGTCCGTACCGGCGGCCCTGGTGGGTGGCAGCGGGCCGGCCGGAGGTCTCAGGTCAGGTCGGACTGGGCAGGGACAGGACAGTCTGAGAAACCGTCCGCACCGGCGCTCAGTACCGGCGGTGGTGGATATCAGGGAGCGGCCGAGAGCCATCAGTGGGGAGGGCAGGCACGCCTCGAGCCTCCTGCCGACAAGCTCTAATGGATCGGTGTGGGTCGGTGGTGGGTTGAGTTAGGTGAGTAGGCCAGAGCGGGGTCGCTACAGACTGCAGCCGTCCCCCGGTTGGGTACAGTGACCTCTGACGGCTCTGGGGGTCACTATATCGCTGACGCCTTTTTGCCACCATCATCCATTCTTAACAGGCGGCGGTCAGCGAAGGACAGGTCGCTGGCATGTACATACTTCCTTGTTGTTCACTTCTCCCTCTGCCCGCCGTCTGTAGACTCGAAGTGGGCCCGAATCCACCGGGGCGCGGTTCCCCGCGCTCACAGGAGTTCTTGTCATTGTCACTACACGCTGTTCATCGTTGCATCGTTCATGGTCAGTCGACATCTACCATAATCCAACGGAATGACTGGCCGTCGTCTCTGAGTTGACACGGTCACATGTCTGCGTCTGCCCTGCGGCAATGATATATGGCTGGAGCCGAGGTCGGCGCTAACGCAGCACCAGCGGCCTCGTCGTGTGTCTGAAGGCCGCTGAGTCTGCATGAAGGCAGGGTTGGCCCTGGCGCGTGCCACCAGGCTGACCCGTGTGCCCTTGTGCCCCCGTGGCGGCAGGTACGGCTTCCGCGGCAAGCCAGACATCATCCTGGCCGCCCACCCGCGGCTGGGCACGCACGACGTGACCTTGACCCAGGTCACCGATTGGATCGAAAACAAGCTGATCGGCGAGGTGCACGTGAGTCCGGCTGTGGCGGCGGCGTCCCTGCCCGCCGCCCGCACTGTCCGGGGGTCAGCCTGTCTTGTCCAGGGATCAGCTGTCCGGAGCTACTGGCCGCCCACAGGGACTGGGGGGAGACGGCGGCGTCCCTGCCCGCCGCCCACACTCCGGGGGTCAGCCTGTCTTGTCCAGGGATCAGCTGTCCGGAGCTGATGCCGTCCACAGGGACTGGGGAGCGGCTTTGAGGATGGTGCCGTGTTGGCTCGGGTCGCAGTAGTGGGGGGTGATATTGTGTCAATGCTGCCTCTTCAGGGGCCCTGTAGACGCAGCGCGCGGTGTCTCGCCGACGGCGGGATGATGTCCTGCGTTTGGGGCTGTTGAGCTGTCTTACCTGCGGGCTAGTGCCCTACCTTCGCTCGCTGTTTGACGCGTCGGTGGAACTGCGTGCGGTGTGCCGTCGTGGTCGTGGGGCGGTCTGACGCGGCGACGCCGCCGTTGCAGAAGCTGATGGTGCTGCCGAACATGGACGACATGATCATCCCGCTGCTGGCCGGAGAGACGCTGGACGACTAGGGAGCTGGCCGGGCGTCGGGCCGGCGGCTCCGCGCGGCTGCTCTGGTGGGCGCGGCGGCACAGCTGCGGCGGGGCGCCCCGCTGTGGGCTCCCAGCGATAGTGCCGGGCTGTCACAGCTACAGCAGCTGTGGCGGCCGACACTGTGCGCTAGTGTTCGGCTGTGGGTCCCAGCTATGCCCCAGAGTTCGGCTGTGGGTCCCAGCTATGCCCCAGAGTTCGGCCGTGGGTCCCAGCTGTGTCCCCAAGTGTTCGGCTGTGGGTCCCAGCTATGCCCCTGTATTCGACTGTGGGTCCGAGCTGTGCGTTAGCGTTCGGCTGTGGGGCCCAGCTTTGCGCCTGTGTTCGCGTGTGTGTCTCCGCCGCGCATGAACGTTTGGCTGTGGTGTCCCAGCAGCGCACTGTGCACAGCCGCCGACCCGCCAGCTTTGCACCTACACTGAGCTGCTTGTGGTCCGGTGGCGCTCGTGTGCAGACTTCCCATTCCCACCGGACTGTGAGCCGCGACTAGCTCTGTGCCCCCCCCCCCCCCCCCCCCCATGGCGACGGGCCGCCGCGGCCGCGTGCGACCTTCCGCTGGCCGGCCGGGCCTCTGGCCGCCGTTCGCTGCCGGTGCCGGTGCGCGGCGGTCGAGATGAAGGCCGACTCTTCCGCTGTGCCTCAACTCAGCTGGCGTGCACACCTGCGCACGCCTGTGCACGCCTGTGCAAGCGATTCAGCGAGGCACGATGGCGAGACACGCTGGCCACGCGGAACTGGATGCTGTAGGCGAGGTTTTGACTAGTCACTGCCGCGCTTGTTCGGGCTTAGTCGGGAACGTTAGGTCAGATAGGCGGCCAGCGCGGTACGGTTGCGCAAAAGCCGTCGCTTCCCGGACAAGAGCGTAGCCCATGTTAAACTCAACCAAAGACCGCAGATTAAGTGTCGTTGAAGCACCCTGTGTGCTGCCGTGTGTCTGGGACTCTGGGACTCTGCAGGGTTTTCGCTGTCGGGCTGCCATCCCTCCAGTGTTCTGCTTCTCATGCACTGGCGATGTCTCCAGTAAGTGTCCTTATGTCATCCATGTGCGAGTCCTCAAGCTTGCGCCGCCGCCTCGACAATCGGCCCCGGGCCGCGGGCGGGGACGCACACACCGAGCCGCGTCGACGAGTGCCGCTCCACCTTCTTCCATCCCCTTCCCGCAGCGCCTGCCTCCGACGAAGCCGGTACTCGCCCAGAGCCGCCACATATCAGTCCTGTGTGTACCCACGCTTAGCTCCACCGCTCGCCCCCCCCCCCCCCCCCCTCGCCCGGCAGTGCAGATCCACCGTTTGCTCACCACGTGTTCCTGGGCACGGTGGCGTTGTTGGGGCCGCTTCCAGCTAGGCGATCGACCCCGACCAGGGGCGCCACGGGCGGGGCCAGGCAGTCCGCCCGGCGGGCTGTGCGCGCTGTTCCACCCCGGCCGGATTTGCAGGGGGGGGGGGGGGGGGGGGGCGTTACTCAGTGATGTGGGATGGGCGAGCGATTGTCGAGTTACCCAGCTGTGGCGTAGGCGTACCATTGGCGGCTTCCCCAGGCGTTGCGTGCCGGCCAGTGGTGAGTGCAGGGTGCGTTTATATGCTTTCGCGGATGTCCAGTTGTGTCCCAACTGACTGTTGAATGTTTGGTGCTTGGTCTCATGTATCCACTTAAACACGGGCGTGACCAACTTTAAACAGTATTTGTAAGGCGATATTATATGTGGTTGAATATATTTTTGATTATCGTGGTCCGTCATCTTTGGAAACCCGGAAATTCGGATGTCGCTGTTGAGAACGTTGTCAATCTGGCGTTAATTGTCGCCCGTTTCTTCGGCCATCACGAGTCTAAGTCATCCCCTTCCAAGCCAGGTTGTCAGAAGTTGGTACCTGGCTGTTGTTATGCTCGGGCCAACCTGTACAACGATTCGTGAATGGGGCCCACAGCGGCTGTCCTGGGAGCCCAGCACGTCTCCCTCCAAGTGAGCTGTCGGCTGCTGCTGACGACGTCTGCCGAGGCCTGCCGCCAGTTACGCCGTCACCGGCTGAAGCGTGCCGTCTTCCTCTCGCGCCCAGAGTCTGCCGCCCGCTCCAAACACGCCTTCGCGTCTGACCGTGTATTATCGCTCCACCCACTGGCCGAGGCCACGCCCACCACCCCGTCTGCCGCCAGTCACGGGCGGCTCTGCCTTGCTAACACGCTGGGCCGCCACGGAGAGGCCCTCCCCGCGAGGATGACACTCCCGAGTTACTCCGCCACGGAGAGGCCCTCCCGCAGGAAGACGTTCCCGAGTCACTGCGCCACGGAGAGGCCCTCCCCACGAGGAAGACGCTCCCGAGTCACTTCGCCACGGAGAGGCCCTCCCGCAGGAAGACGTTCCCGAGTCACTCCGCCACGGAGAGGCCCTCCCCGCGAGGATGACACTCCCGAGTTACTCCGCCACGGAGAGGCCCTCCCGCAGGAAGACGTTCCCGAGTCACTCCGCCACGGAGAGGCCCTCCCCGCGAGGAAGACGCTCCCGAGTCACTCCGCCACGGAGAGGCCCTCCCGCAGGAAGACGTTCCCGAGTCACTCCGCCACGGAGAGGCCCTCCCCGCGAGGAAGACGCTCCCGAGTCACTCCGCCACGGAGAGGCCCTCCCCGCGGGAAGACGCTCCCGAGTCACTCCGCCACGGAGAGGCCCTCCCCGCGAGGAAGACGCTCCCGAGGCACTCCGCCACGGAGAGGCCCTCCCCGCGGGAAGACGCTCCCGAGTCAGTCGCGGATGCGACGGGCCCCAAGTCTCGCCGCCGCGGACGTAATGGCGGCGAGACGAGGCTCAGTGGGCTAGGCAGGGCATGGATATGTTGTAGCTGGGTGTTCGGGCAAGAAGAGGCCGCCACAGGACGCTGCGTGGCGCTCGCCACACGTCACGTGACCGATGCTCGGCTGCGGATTGGGTCGCGTCTTGGTCTTTCCGAACGCCGCCTTCAATTTCGACGTCTCTTTCGGACATGATCGGCTTTCGCCTTTGGTCCTGGCTGAGTGGGATGTAACCCGGCCGTCATTCTAAAAATCTAAACGACAAGGAATGCATTCGGCGCTCAGGTCAAGTCTTATGAAAGACAGCCGCTCAAGTACACGGAGACGTTATGGGCACAATATGACCTTCGATGTCTGCGCGCCCAAAAATCTCAAATCATCACCAAGTACACAGCAGGGGCGTGGTTTCGCAAAGCGAGCTAAGGGAGCAGAACGGCGGAAAATGACGCAGTCTGCCCTCAAAATACGCTAACAAACCGGCTTCTTGGATCTCGCCAACTTCCTCCTCAAAGTTGGAGGGTTGGAGCACCCCCTCCCTCCCGTCCCCCAGCTGGATAGGAAACTACACCCGTGGTGCGCAGGTCTTTACCCAAGGC